CCTTTGGACTCAGGATCCCTACGCTAAAAACATGCTAGACCCAGAGGAAGATTGATGCTAAGGCCACGGAAATCTCCAAGGAACACCACACCTACAGATGCTGAGAGAAGACAAGAAACGTTCTCCAGAGTCAACAAAGCAAGAGCCGTCCCCTAGAGCTGGCACTGTGAACTCAGACTTGGAGCTTTCAAAAACTGTGAGAGAATAAATTTCTGTTTGTTGAATCCACCCCCTTTTGATGTCATTTCAGAATCACTGGAGAACTAAGATAATGACATTCACAAGGAAAGATGAAATGCAGTGAAGTGGGGTCCAGACAGAAGGAAAAGGTGCCTTGGGGGAAAACACTGAACCCCACGGACACAGTGAGTGGGGTGCTGTCTCAGTCCTATAGGGCTTCCGTAGCAACAACAACAAAAGGGAGTGGCTTTCATAAACACACATGTGGAAGGCTTACAGAGCCCTGGTGGTGCAGTGGGTTACACGCTGGGCTCCGAACCACAAGATCAGTGGTTCAAACCCACCAGCCGCTCATCGGGAAAACAATGAGGCTGTCTGCTCACGTAGAGATTTACAGTCTCTGAAAACCTGAAGAGGGTCATTGTGAGTCGGAATTGATTCGATGGCAGAGGATCTGGCTTCTCATGTGTCTGGTCTGCTCCTTTTTTCATCTCAGAAGAGACTGGCATAAGACAGCCTCACAGTAATCTAACCTCATTTGCTTAACAAAGAAAACCCTGTTCCCAAATAGGATCGCTACCAAGGATAGATATGCTATTGCTGTTGTTAAGTGCTATGGAGTCGGCTCCAATTCATAGTAACCCTGTGTAGGGTTTCCAAGGAGCAGCTGGAGGGTTTGAACCACTGACCTTGTGGATAGCAGTCCACAGTGCCACACCAACACTCCAAAGGTATAGGGTTAGGATTTGTCCCACATATTTAGAAGGGACACATTCAATCTATGACAAGTACTAACTCCTCCACATAGCATCACTTCCCACAAGAGTGTGCTGTGGGACTTACCTGCCACCCGGAATCAAACTTGTTCTTGTATTGGACTTCATAAAGGAGACCCTCATACGGGAGTTCAGGGCAAGTAACAGTGACTTCTTCCTGCTTCCACAGGAATTTTAAGTCGTTCAGGGATCCGGGTTTTACTACGAGGAAGAACAAGAGAAACACGGCTTCCTAGACAAGGTGAACATTTCCTCACCTCACCCCCCAAAAAAGTAGCTTTATATTTGCCTAGACACACTTTCCTTTCACCAGAGATTCTAACCGGTTCCATATGGCTCAGAAAATGCTATGTAGGTGTTCCATAGCAACCACATTTGTTGCCTGTGGTATTCTGAACTGAGTAGGAAACAAATTAGGGTGTTGGCAAATAATATTCAGCAAATCAGGTTGCCGGAAGAACAAACAAATCTGTCTTGCAAGAAGTACAACCAGAAGAATGCTCCTTTGAAATGAAGATGGCGACAGTTCATCTCAAGTCATGTGGACGTGTTATCAGGAGGGACCAGTCCCTGGAGAAGGACATCGTGCTTGGTAAAATGGAGGGTCAGTGAAAAAGAGGAAGACCCCCAATGAGGTGGATTGGCACAGTTGCAGACACAATGGCATCAAACATAGCAATGATTGTAAGGTTGGCTCGGGACCAGGCAGTGTTTTGTTCTGTTGTACATAGGGTTGCTATGGGTCGGAGCCAACTCTATGGCACCTAACAACAGCAACAGGAAACAAACAGCTTTGCCCCACTTAAAGATGATGGTCAACTGGACCACTTTGACTGTGTGTTGGTCTCCAAAGCCCTGCCAATAACGTCGCTCTCCAAAACTCCTGCTAGTCCTTCTTCCTCAAAGTTTCAGGAGCTTGATTTAGGAGATTGGATTATGGGCAGGAGTCTGGAGAGCAACACACATTCATTGAGGTGAGGTCGGCCGCCATCTTTGAAAGGGGCAAGGCTGTTTGCTTCCTGTTTGTGTCAAAATGACACAAGAAACAGATTTGGTTGCTATGCAACTCATACATGGCCCTTGTTTACATGAGGGCAGCAGCTGAGAGGTCTGCTTTTAATAGCTAAACCGATGGGGTCTCAGGCACTCCAATGTTGGTGAGAATGGTTTGAATTCTGCATGTTCTGATCTATTCTAGCTGAGGTTGCGATGCACGGGAGCTGATTCAGTGAATACCAACAATACCACATTATTCTACCCACAGCTATCTTTGTTTTAAGTGGTACCTGTACTACCCTGGACTCTGTCTGAAACGGTTGCTATGAATAAGTATCTATTTGACTGCAGGGGAATGTTTTAGTTGATTTTGTTTTGTTTTTTAGAGGATCTGACAATAATTAATGGGAGAAACTCTCATACATTTGTTTGTTCTTCTGACAGACATTGGTACTTTCAGTATTCTTCTCAAACACCATAGTTCAAATGCGTAGATTCTGACGCAAATCTGTGACTTTTCCTCTCTAAAAACAGACAAATAAATAAATAGTCACTGATGACAGAATTCTACAATGAAGAATGCACATTCTAGAGAGAGCTTTGGGGCATTTGTGGTGTTTTAGCCCACTCGAGATACACCCACACCTTTAAAAACACATCCATACTCTCAACTCCATTTCAACTCATGGCGACCCCATAGATTGCTTGCCCATAGGGTTTTCTGAGCTTTACAGAAGACGATCACGAGGCCTTTGTTTGGTGGTGCTAGTGGGTGGTTTTGAACCACCAAAGTTTAGGATGGTTATTGATATTAGATACCCTCAAATCAATTCCAATTCATAGCGACCCGATAGACAACATAATGAAACACGGTCCGGTCCTGCCCCTTCCTCACAATCGTTGCTACGCTTGAGCCCATGGCTGCTGCCACTGTGCCAATCCATCTCATTGGGGTCTTCCTCTTTTTTGTTGTTGACCCTCCAGTTTACCAAGCATGATGCCCTTTCTCCAGGGACTGGTCCCTCCTGATAACACATCCAAAATAGGTTGAGTACCAACCATTGACATCCTCTGGGGACTTCTCAAAATTGACCACCAAAATTCAGGGGACAAAAATGGATGTGAATCATTTAAGAGTTAGAGGGTTTCCCTATGTCTCTTTCTTACTTTCTGTGGCATCGAGGGGGTACCTTGTCTCAAATCACAACCTTCAGAAGGTCTTTTGGTCTCCATCATTGTCTCCACCCAACAGCCATGTGGATATGGGTTTTCTAGAAGGGGCCACGTCTTGCCTGTTGGTGTCGACGAGGGAGTCCCCCAGAGTCAGCTCCCCTGGGGTGGGGGTGGGGGGTGGACAATGAAATCCTTTCTGAGTACTCACGGTAGGAGCTGATCCACAAGCTAGTGTTGATAAACATGTCGGTCCCGTTGCTGAGTGATAGTTCAAGTACGAGATCTCTGTCCCCATCCTCATTGGGTTCCACCTCCAGAACACACCCGGCTGTGCATCCTTGCTCGAGAATGTAGGTGGGACACGGGCGGATCGCCACACTTCCAAATCTGTGATGGAAGAGAGAGGACCGTTGAATCCAAGGCCATCTTCCCAAACAGCATTTTCACGTATCTACTACCTGCTCCCCCCTCCAAACCCCCATCTTTCTCCTTCTTTTCAAAGTTCTTCCCCATCAAGGAGACACCTGTCTACTCAGGAAAGTAGGATCTGTCCTCTCAGGTGTTTGAAACCTTCAAGGGTTCCATAAATAGCCTCACCGAATGGTCATTGTTGTAAGTGCTGTTGAGTCAATTCCGACTCATCGCAACCGTGTATAGGGTTTCCAAGGAGCGACTGGTGGGTTTGAACTGCCCACCTTGCAGTTAGCAGTCCAGTGCTGATCTGACAGCAGCCCACCAGAATTCCCCACTGAATAGTGGCCACACACACACAAAAGGTGAGTTAACATCCCAGAATGGGAACGGACACTGATTTGGAATAAGAGTCTTTGGAGATGTGATTAAGTGAGACATCTTGAGATGAGAGCTTGCTGGATTTCACATGGGCTCTAAACCCAAAGAGTGGGGTCACATTAGGAGACAGAAGACAAGAGACACAGAGGGAAGGCAGCCATGTGAAGACGAGGCAGAGATGGGAGAGATGCAGCCACAAGCCCAGGACACTGGGACCACCAGGAGCTGGAAGATGAGGGAGGACCCTTCACTAGAGCCACCAGAGAGAGCCAGTCCTGCCCACACCTGGATTCCAGACTTGTGTCTTTGTGGATATAATTCACTTAACATGAGGTCAGACTACAGTAGGGTATTGTTGTTGTTAAGTGCCATCAAGCAGTAGGGTAGGCCCTGGTAATATATGAGTGGGGTCCTTATAAAAGAGGAGAAGAGACAGAGGAGAAGACACAAAGAGGAGAGCTCCCGTGTGAAGACATGGCAGATGGAAGAGATTCACCCACAAGTCCAAGAACACCTGGGACCACCAGGAGCTGGAAGACGAGGGAGGACCCTCCCCTAGAGCCGCCGGAGGGAGCCAGCCCTGTCCACACCTGCATCTCAGACGTGTGGTCTCCAAAACTGGAAGGGAAAATAAAGTCCTAAGGTTTTAAAGCACTTTACATCGATGTGTGTCCTAGTAAAATAGTGATCTGACAAGTTTTCAGTGCTTGATTTTTCAAATGTAACTGGAGTCCTGGTGTGGCGCTGTGGGTTAATGCACCAGATTGCAAAGCCATTTGAACTGCAAGGTTGGTGGTTCAAGCTTACCAGCTGCTCCTTGGAAACCCTATACACGGTGGCTATGGGTCAGAACCGACTTGATGGCACTTAACAACAATAACAACATAGGACAGAGTAGAACTGTGTTGTAGGGTTTCGGAAGCTGCCGCCTTTGGGTTAGCAGTTGAGTATTTTAACTACCAGGGCTACTCTTGAAATATTCAAACTGCAAAACACAATCTCACCCCCAGCTTTGTTGTAGCTAAGTACCATCGGGTCGGCTCAGCTCTGTATAAGACTTCCAAGGAGCAGCTGGTAAGTTTGAACTGCTGATCTTGTGGTTCAAACTGACCTTGAGGTCCAGCATATGAACCCACACTGCCAAACCAGGACTCCAATAAAATAAAACAAACCCGCGGTCATCAAGTTGATACTGAGTCTTTGTTACTCTCCAAGACCAAGTAGAACTGCTCCAAACAGTTTCTGAGGCTGAAAATCTTGACTCAGACGCCACTGGGTGAAGTGGGCACGTTGTCTTAGTAAAATCGAAGTGTTTTTGTTTGTGACAGTTGGATGCAAACGTTTACAGGACTAGGGATATGGCGAGGGGTCCCTGACCTCTCTTTTCTTCCTGGCTTTCCTTGTTTCTGATGTCACAGAAGGAGAGAGGTTTGAGCAAGTGGCATTAAGTTCCCTGTGCCCACAGACCCTTACGTGTAGAGAAAAGACAGATTCATCCCCGGGAAACTGCTTGTATTCCATGTCACCCTCACGGTGTCGAAATTAAAGTTGATGAGTTGAAACTGTATGGTTTCTTCTGGAATAAAAAAAGAGACAAAGACCACCGTGTGAGTCAAGAGGAAAAAGAAAACCAAGATTTTCACAAATAATCCAGAAAACATATTGCCGTCAATTCCAAGTCATGGCCACCCTTTAGAGCAGAACTGCCCCATAGGGTTTCCAAGGCTGTACATCTTTACGGAAGCAGACAGCCTCATCTTTCTCCTGTGACAGACTATATACAATCATATATAAAGTTGTTGTTGTTGTTAAGTGCCATCGAGTCGTTTCCGACTCATAGAAACCCTGAACAATGCTTCTGAGGAGTGACTGATGAGCTTGAACCACCAACCCTGAGGTTCAAACTGGCCTTTCAGTCCAGCACATTAACCCACAGTGCCACACCAGGATTCTAATACTATATAATACACACATTAAATTATTTATTGCAATAGAGCAGTTAGAATATATATTTTATATGTTGTTTTTTAGTGCCGTTAAGTCGGTTCTGACATATACCAACCCTGTCTAAGATTTCCGAGGAGTGGTTGCTATGTTTGAACTGCTGACCTTGCGGTTCAAACTGACCTTGCAGTCCAGGGTTTATCCTACAGTTGTGGTTGTTTTTAAGTGCCGTCGAGTCGTTTCTGACTCTTAGCAAACCTGCACAGGATTTCTGAGGCTGTAAATCTTTATAGGAGCAGAAAGCCTCATCTTTCTCCCATGGAATGGCTGGTAGTTTCGAACTGCTAACCTTGAGGTTCGCAGCCCGATTTGTAACCACTATGCTGTGTATCCTACAGTGTTACATACAAAATAGTTAATATAATAATCATATATATCATGCACAACATAGACATATTGTAATATATCTGATTGTTGTTGTTGTTACACACTGTCAAATCAAATCCGACTCTTAGCAACCCTGTATAGGGTTTCCAAGGAGCAGCTGTAAATTTGAACCACTGACCTGTTGTTCAAACCGACCTTGCAGTCCAGTGCTTATCCTATAATGCCACACCAGAACTCCAATATATCTGATAGATGTAGTGATTAGGTGTCACCATCTCGGTTCCAACCCAGAGCGTCCAGACGTACAACACAACAAACCACCACATGTTCCCACACCATCCTCACAACTGCTGCTACACTTGAGCCCATTGTTGGCTAATAGATTTTATATAGTTCATTGTATATATAGTCTCTTACTATATGTTCTATAAAGGAGCTCTGGTAGCGTAGTGGTTACGAGTCAGGCTGCTGATCTCAAGGTCAGCAGTTCAAAACTACCAGTTGTTCCACGGGGAGAACGATGAGTTACTGTGTAAGCGTAAAGATTTACAGCCTCGGAAACCCTATAACAGGGTCGCTGTGAGTCAGAAGTGGCTCCATGGCCCATAATCACCACCACCATTGTTGTTGTTGTTAAGTGCCGTCGAGTCGGTTCCGACCGATAGCAACCCTGTACAGGGTTTCCGAGGGTGTAAATCTTTACGGGAGTAGAAAGCCTCATCTTTCTCCCGCGGAGCGGCTGGTAGTTTCGAACCGCTGACCTTAAGGTTCGCAGCCCGATTTGTAACCACTACGCTACCAGAGCTCCTTACCACCACCATATATTATATATTTTTCTATATATAATGTAGTATTCTTGTTTGTTGTTGTTGTTAGGTGCTGTAGAGTCAGTTCCAACTCTTAGCAACGCTACGCACAACAGAACAAAACACCACCCAGTCCTGGACCAGCCTCACAACGGTTGTTACCGCTTGAGCCCATTGATGCTGCCACTGTGGCAATCCATCTCATTGAGGGTCTCCCTCTTTTTCTCCAAACCTCCACTTTACCACATACGATGTCCTTCTCCAGTGACTGGTCCCTCCTGAGAACATGTCCCAAGTAGAAGAGACAAACTCTCGCCATCCTGGCAGCCCATGGCACTTTTACTGTTCTTTGCCAACATTCTGTATCTAATTAGAGGACCAGATTATATCCCAGATGGAAGCATTTTCTGAATTTGTGAGGAGAGCTACCTGTGTCCCCCCCCCTGCCCCCGAGGTGTGAGGAATCTTTCTGTTGAATGCTGACGATCTTTCAGGACCTAAACTGACCCCAGAAATCACACCATGGACCTTGAACTGGGGCTTTCTGGGACACGGAGCAGAAGACATTGGAACTTCTGGAAAGCCCCATCCTTCCAAAGAGAAACTTGAATTTTTCCTTCTTGCCAACGCCTCCCGATCTCTGTAGTTTGGATGACAGGTGCTCAGCACTCAGACCCACAAAAACATTATGAGGACAGCTCTTTGGGGCCCCAGAGGATCCCTGGTCATACAGCGGTTAAGCAATCAGCTGCACAGCCAAACACCGGCAGTTCAAACCCACCAGCCGCTCCCAGGAAGAGAGGTGAGGCTGTCCAGTCCCTGTACAGATTTACAATCCTGGAAACCCTCTGGGGCATTTGAACTCTGTCCCAGTGTCTCTAAGAGTTGGAATTGACGCAATGGAGGTGGGTATGGTTTTTATATGCATTAGAAGGCACTCTGGTAGCACAATATTTAAGCGCTTGGCTGCTGACTGAAAGGTTAGTGATTTGAGCCCACCGGCTACCGCAAAGGAGAAAGATGAGGCTGTTTGCTTTTGTAAAGACTGATGGCCCCGAAAGCCCTATGGGGCCATTCTACTTTGTCTTATAGGGTCCCTAGGAGTTGGAAATGACTCAGAAGCCGTGGGCTGGGATTTGGCATGCTGACAAAACTGTAAAATGCTCAGCTTCAAATGGAAAAGCCCACAACTCAAACCCATTCACCTACCTCCTGGGAGAAATGCCAAGACAACTGCTCTGGAAAAGATGGCAACGTAGAACTCCTATGGGGCAGCTCTACTCTGTCCAAGGGGCTCATGGCATGGAGTTTGGTTTGGGGGTTTGTTTGTTTGTTTTGGTAAGGATACAGAGACTGTTTGGAAAGTTAACAAGGCACTTGTGCTAGTCTATGTGGTCCACACTCTACCCCATGTCTCTGAAATACTCTCCCGCCCCTTTTTCTCCCCAGGAGGGTCCACGGCCCTGGTGACTCCATCTGTGAGTCACTTGGGTTTCATTGAAAGCTGTGGTCCACTCTCAGGGTCTCACAGCATCAGCTTTGGACTTCAGCTCCTCCACATGACACAGCTCCTCCTCACAACACTCAGCTCCTCCACAACATGGGCAGCTTCTTCACAAGATACTCAGTTTCCCCACACAATTTTAAGCTTCTCCACAAGATGCTCAGCTTCTCCACAA